GATGATACTGATAAGTAAGCACCTGTGAGCAAGAGCTTCTGTGTCTCATAATCCCCACTCCTTCTTCACAGCAAGCTAAGAGGCTGCTTCTGACCTTGTGACCTGTTGATGTGAGAATACTTCTGTGTCTTGATTAAAAACTGCAGTCCTGACAGTGAAACAGGAGGTCTATGAGAAAAGTACATGCCTGTCTGGTGGTTTGGGTGTAAGGAAGATGGATGGCTTTTAAAAGTGACCTTGCTCTTTGTGTAGCCTTAGGAGCATTTTATGAAGCCTAAGTAAAAATTTTTTTTATACTATGATATCCTGATCAAACTAAGGAAATAATAAACATAATAAACAAGGAAATTATGCTTGGATACATTTCTCAGGATCAGCATTTCCCCAGGTGGGTGGTAAGGGAAGTCCTACATTCATAATCCCGTCATTACTCCTGAGAAGTACTCAAGGATGATATGAACTGATATATAAGCCTGTCACCATGAAAAAAAACACTTTTTCTTTATTTGTTTTGTTTTCTCTAATTCTGTTTTATGGGCCATGTTCACCTCTGGATTTATATGACTTCAGTAGGACCTGAGGGGGTTCAACAGTTTGTTGAATAGCTGAGAAAAAAAATAAGAACTAAGAAAAATTTAGTTCACCTGAAATAGTGGTGTCAGCACTCTGCCCATGGCTTTTCCATGCTCTCTTCAGTTACCAGACATGGCACCTTTTTAAACCAAACAAATACTAGAGCTTTCTTGCACATACTTTTTTTTTTTTTTTTTTTTTTTTTTTTTTTTTTTTTTTTTTTTTTTTTTTCCCCAGAACAAGTGGAGTGGGGAAATGTCTAATTGTAATCCCTGAAATCCCTACTATAAGGTCTTGCTAGCAATTGCAGAAGTAAATGCTGTTTACATCAGATTGGACAGATAATTCCCCTTCGTTTCTTTATGGAGTGAAATCAGCTGACACTGTGCTTTCATCAGAACTGGAATAGGAAATAAAATGAAAAGTCATTGATCATTTACATTGTTACTTTTACCCTCCTCAAGATTCTTGCCTGGAACTTTTCACTTGTTGAAGGACTGTTGTCCCAGGCTCACATACGCAATTGTGCAGGTATCATTTCATGACTTTGGTCTATATTTAGAATTTGAAGATTTTTTTCTTTGGAGACATAAACATCTAAACATTTTCATATACTACTCAATGAAGGTCAGATTCTCCTGATGACTGACACAATAAGCTGCATATGAGGCTGTTTTCAGAAGTAGAAACAGAGTTTTGCAAAAGCAAGTCTCCTTTAGACTGCCAGGGTAGTCAGTGCAGAAAGTCTCTTCCAGATGTCTCTTCAGATTGCCTGAAAAGAAGTTTCTGCTCAAAATAGCTTTTTTAATGAATCTCTTTCTCATTTTCTCTGTACTGGCCATGGATTGACCTCAGGAGGTTAACATCCTGTGGCTAATTCTAGTCAGTGAATAACCTTGCCGCCTCCAAAACTCAACTGCTTTCATCTGGTAATGTTTCACAACCTCTTTACATTCATTTTGCCTGGAAATACTTATGCTGACAGAGAAGAAGGCATTGTAGTGTTTTATCCTATGGCTCTTTTGCTCACCTCTTAGTTTTTTTCTTTATTTTATATATTATTCTATGTACAATCTTCATCCTTTGTCATATAGAGGTTACTGACCTGGAAGTTGTACTCAGAACATCGAAGGAGTTTCACTTAATTCTTCAAATAAATATTGAAGCTACTGGAAAACTGAAGAAAAGATTTAATTGCAGATTTAAGCAGGCAGAGAAAGAGGTCTTGAAAGTTGAAATCATGATTCACAAGCCTAAAAAAGGAAGACAGAAACCTAAGTGAAACCTTTCGTCAGCAACCTCCAGTTCTTGCTCTCCCACCCAAATTAATTCAGTGAGGTTTCTCAAGCCTTTTTAATTGAAATAATTTATTTTTACCTCAAATGTAGGTTATCATAAACCAGAAGTTAAACAGCATTTATTTTCACATTTTTAATAAAGTAGGAGGGCAAATAAAATTAACTATTGTGGTAAATACACACTCCTGTAAACACTGAGTTATTGCCTTAATTGTGAAGATACCACACTTACTAAAACAAGAAAAAGAATAAGTGTACTGGTTCAGCTTTGCTTTGCACTGATGCAAATGGGCATCTCAGTGAGATTCATGAGAGAATTTCATGGAGAGACTAAAAAAGTCCACCCTGATCAGGAATCACAGCCATTGTATCCACCGATCCTCACAAAAGGGGGTGGGTTTTAAAGCAGCAATTACATTCATGTGGGCCTTTAAAAAAGTATATGTGATTCGCAGTAGTCACTGTGTGACATTGTTTGATGTCTGTGTGGGCTGCAATGCAACAAATTTGTCACTCTGCTAGACTGAGAATGGAACAGGCATTGCAGTCATGCCAATCACAACCCAGACCCGGTGATTTTCGTTTCCTGAAGCTCTGAATTGCGCTGCCAAATGACGAGACGCCTCTTTGCAGATTTTACTTGTACCTGATGAGGAGGTGTGAAAATTCCTGGCTGTGTCTGAGGCTAACCAGGTGCAGGGCAGAAGGAAATGCCACTCTGGAGTGCACGGAGGATGGCGAGCCGTGCTCTCTAGAAATGGCTCCTGTGCTGATTGATGCAAAAGAAACTTGTAGATTCTCTTCAGACAAGGGCAACTAGTGGGAAAGCCAGGTTTTCTGGAGGTTTTCAAAGACAATGATTCTTTTTCATCTCTTTGAATTACCTTAAGGACATCTGCTTGTAACACGAATGATTAATTAAGTCAGTACTTTTCAGAAGTGAACTGTAGATCATTAAAAAGCAAAAACACTCAGCTGCTGTTCAAAGGTCTATCCTGCAAGAATTTATCTTAATGACAAGATCATCACTGGATTTAATAGTGCAAGGTTATGAACTAATCATTGCTTATTACCTTCTGAGAGCTATATCTTGATCCTAAGAGGTAGCACTAATGACCTCTTAGAAGGAATGTTTCTTTAGTTGAACAAGGATTTTTGAGTTTAGCCCTTAGTTTCAGGACCATGGTGGTATTGCAGAAAATACAGATGCTTCTGCGAGACTCAAAGGGGGCATCAGAAGCTGTGTTTTAGTGGTTTGATAGACAAGAACAAATCTTGAGGAGCAGATTCTATGTCCTCTCTGTTTACTTCCAACCCCTTAAATTGAATAAAACTGAACAGGGGGGTGTGTGTGTGAGTGCTCCTTGTAAGAGAAGTGGTATCTGACCCATGTTGTCATGACCCATGAAATGAACACCAGTCTGACTCCATGTCATCCATCCAGGTAGGGCTGAACATATTTTCACTACTTCAAATGATGGTAAAATGAACATTTCTGATGAGTCATTCTGCAAGTGGTGTCCCACAAACAGAGCAGGTGCCTCACAACTGCATTTCGACTTGCATAAAAATGAATTGCTAGTAGCACTCAGCAATCTTCTGTGATTGTCCCAGCATGTGACTGTCCTATCCTGGATACATTGACTTAGTACTGTCTTCTTACCTTGGAGGAGATAATCTGCATTGACTCTTTGTAAGGTGTATTGGCTCTCTTTTTGTTGCACTGGCTGAGACCTCGGGCTCAGGTATATGAACCTCCCAGAGCTGATTCTAACTTACAGAAGAGAAATTAAGACATTCGGATTGGAACTCTTTTTTTTGTGTAGATACTTTTTTTGTGTAGATAGCTTAACATTGAGTCAGGAAAATTTTAAATTGTGCGAGTAACTTCACAAGTTATGGCCACCTTATTTCTTCCAGCATGAAAAGGAGGGATCTCTAGTCCAAATACAGCCCCATAAACAGCAAAGGGTGACATCTGATGCAGTTTAAATATTCTTGATTCCTGTTGCCCATGCTGGGAGCCTGGACCCAACAGTCACACATTTGCACCACAAGGAAAGGGAGGACCCCACTCACTGAGCAGGGAAAGTTCAACATTGCACAAAGCAGCCATTGAGAAATAGCAGAGGTTCAGAGTACAGTGTCTCCAATTAAAACACCAACACCACCACCAAATCCACCTCTTTGGGTGGATAGAGTTTACATGAATTGCTCACTGCCTACCAAAATAAAATCAGAGGGTAGCCAGGATGTCTGCAAAATATATCATTAGTCAGTTAGAAATACCCTGGCACCTTGACCTGTTTCTTATAGTCAAGGCCTTTAATTGCAATGAATAATCAATATTTCCCTAGCCTAGTTGATGGGATGACATAATTGTGCAGAAAGCCTGTTAACTGTATTTGAAAGAGAAATATGTTTTACTGCTAATGGTGTGTTCTGAGGTCTGCCGCTGACTTGGGGCATCGCACTTGAGCCAAAATTTTCGAATTTGAATGTCTTAAGAGAAGCAGAGATTGTCTTGTTTGGGCATGTAATTAAGCAGCGTGGTTTTCCCCCAAAACCCTTTCAAGTGTGTCAAGTGGGAGCCTGACCACTGAGGTCTCTTAATCACATTAGAAGTGTTAATGCAAGAAACTGCTGCAGTGCTGGCTGTAATCAGAATTGGTGAAAAATGGTGATGGTTTGTTCAGAGCTCCTTCTTCGAAAGGGAATCGTTCAGCTTGCACTTTTCAGCCTCATAGTCTGAGGTCTGGCCAGCTGATGAGACAACATCTCTTAAAACATGTAGTGTTTTATAAATGTTTGGCATTAGGATGCTGAGCAGCTGCTTCTATTACAAGGGCACTGGTAAGTGAAGTTCCTATTGCCTTGCTGACTGAACAGAGACATTTCTCATTAAAGACCCAAATCCACAACCTGCTGGTCAGTCTCAGCCTTCGCGGCAGTTTCTTACGAGAATAATATCTGTCTGGTTGGAAGCTCTGGTCTCTCAGTGGGAATTTAGCAAGCTGTTTCCATCTGTTGCTGCAGGCTGTGTTTCAGAGTATGGGTTCATTTGTGACTCATGTTTCTTTTCTCTCCTTTCCCTCCCCCTTTCTCTCTCTCATCTTCTTTCCTCTGCAGAGGGGGTAAGAATGAGCCAGAACCAGAGCAACCAATCCCTCGAAAGGTGCAGATTCGTTCTCTCCCTTCCTTGGAGGATATTGATCCAGACGTGTTAGATAGCATGCACTCGTTAGGCTGCTTCCGTGACCGAAATAAACTCTTACAGGACTTGTTGTCGGAAGAGTAAGCACTTGCTCAGTCTTCATATCAGTTGGGTGTCCAGGGGCTGGGATGCTTATGAACCTGGGGAGAGGTAGAGAGCACTTTAACTGATTCTCTCTCAGTGACTGGTGAGAACTTCTCACCCTCTGGCTGCTCATTTGCTGGTGAGGTGTTGGGAGCAAGCACTGAGCCTTTCCAGCTCCATGGGTCGGAAGCTCACAGCCTGACCAGCAGTGGAGGCACTGTGCTAATTCTTCCCTCACTGCCAGGCCAGGTCACTTCATTAAAACATGGGCTGCACAGTCCACGTGGGGAGGTGTCATTACTGATATTTGTGTCAGATACGCCTTTGTTGCCAGATTTTTATTTATTTCAAGCCTATGCCTAAGAGCTGGTGTATCTCCAGAGGTGTTAAGAGGGACACGTAGTAGAAAGAGCACTTAGAGGCTCAGGAGACCTGTCTGGCTGCCACTCTTGGTTTGGACTTCCTGGGGACACATAACCTACACTGTCCTGTGCCTCTGTTCTGTGTGTGTTACATGGGAATCTTATTTCCTTTCCTCACTAGCTGCTTGTTGGAGACAGCAAGGTCTCAAAAGCTTTGTGGGTTCTTTATCTAGCTGTCAGGTACATGACCACTTCCAACTAATTTATAATAACTGTGACTGTTTATTTGATGAGAAAGTTTTATGTACATGTTGACCTTTTTTTTCTTTTCAAATGTAAAGATTTTTTTCTTTTTTTTTTTTTATTTTTCAGAGAAAACCAAGAAAAAATGATTTATTTTCTTCTGCTTGACCGGAAGGAGAGGTATCCTAGTCATGAAGATGAGGATCTTCCCCCTAGAAATGAAATAGGTACTGCAGATATGACCTCAGTCACCATGAACCCATCTGAGCTAGTTCCTCTTCACCTTTTTTTTTTTTTAATTCTAATTTTATTTTAATTTAAACCCAAACCCTAGCGTCGTTGTTACTTTCCCAGTGAAACAGTGTACACAACACTGGTGAGAATCCTCAGCCTGGGGCAGGCAAGTCTGTTCCATGCTTAAACTAGAAGGCTTCATCTTTCAAGGCATGTCTGTCTCACAGTACAGAAACATCCAAATAAGTCTTGAATGGGATGTTAAAAAATGTGCTGTGAACCCACAGGCTGGCTCTATGCAGATGGGGTTTAATAGCAGTATAATCCAGTGGCAGAATTTTCTAGTTGCAAGTCTCCTTGCAGTGTTGCAGAAAGGCTGCTCATGGACTTAAGTTATTAAGAAGCTGTGTAGCTGCATCCCTCTGCAGTTGTACATGTGCACATTCTCTTCTCTGGAAGTGAATGCATGCACTGCTGAAAGTATGAATCATATAACTTAGCTGTTTTATAGTACATAAATCAAGCTCCCATGTTTTTAGACTTAGATTTTAAAAGCTTAATGCACAATAAGATTATATATCTTATAAAGCTCTTCTGATACCACTTTATTCCTAGTTATTCATTGGTTTTGTAGGGTGCTGCTGATCACCACTAATCCAGACAACAGGAAACCTGCTCTCCAAGGAACTAACTATATAAGTGACTCTTGACATGCAGACAAGTTTAATAAAGGATTGGTCACTTCTAGCAATGATCTTAAACAGAATTTTGCATAGAAGTGTGGAGATTTTCAGGTATTGTACTTAAGCACTTTGAAGACAAGCAAAGTGCCCTTTATTTTCACTGGAAAGCCTGGAATCTTACAAGTTTTCAGGGCAGTGCTGTATTGCACTGCATTTGTTAATGCTTCATTCAGTTATTAACCTCTACAAGTTCCAGGCTCCAGGCCCTATAATTTTGAAAGGAAATCTCTTCTTTGGGGGAAGAGATGAAAATTCTTAGTTAACAAAGCAATTCTTAAACTCCTACATGGATGGAGGTACAGAGAGCGTGTTAGCAGGGATCCTGATGAAGATGGGTAGCTGTGCCAGCTGCAGGTCCTGTGGTCAAAAGCCCCTTGCTCAGTGCAGTTTGTCATCTAGCCCTCTGCTAATCAGCTTTTGACTCAAACAGATTATCCTGCCATGTAAGGACAGCATCATCTTGTTTTAGAAATGCTTTTGTCATAAGAACAGAAACAAGGTGACTCTAGAATCTTCAAACCCGGCATGCAAGTGAATATGCAGCTATGCCCTAAGTGCATCATATATCTCTTCCACATGCCAAAGTATTTTCATGGTTTGAACTGAAATATTATGGTCCTCTCTTGTATTATCTTGTGCAAGGAGTGAAAATGTTTCCTAACAGGGAAACACTGAGTGTATCTATGTGCCTAACCTGCACATTTGAGCTTTATTCTTTGAGCATTTGTATGTTGTATTTCCTCTTCCACAGGGGGTTTCCACGTCCTCTGTTCCCAGCGGTATCTCTGAGAACGTGGGGCAAGGTTTAATTAGGAGCAGTCGTGTCTGATGAATATCTCATCATTAGCCATTAGCAATGGCCCTGCACAAATAAAGAAAAGCAGAGAACAAGTAACAGTTTAATAACAGTAGCTTGAAGAAACCGTGTTCATGAGAGTTGTGCATTGTCTGAGCTCTTGCAAAAAAAAAAAAAAAAGGCACCTGAGAGTATTTTTGCTTTTTCCTCTTTGTTGGCATATTAAGTCACAGAAAGGATGGATGCAGGTAAAAATGTGACCAGCTACCGCTTGCTCTTTCTTCTGGTGTCCCTTTGTCTGTTTCAACTGTATGAAGTTTCTTCCAAGGGCCAGGAAGGGCTACTTCCAACATTTTTTTGCGTGCAGCTCCATTTTCTATACTTGAAAACAGGGCAATGATAAACTTCTCAGTAAAAAGAATGAATGTCAACTAATGTCTCCTTGAGAAAAAAGATTTTGTGGGGTGAATTTTCTTAATTAACCAGAGAACAAAAGGTTGGACCAGAACGGATACAGAGGATAGAGATGCCTCATCCAAACTCAGAAGGTGAACCTTTATTTCCCATCTTCCGTGAGAAGGTGGATTTATAATTGGATCATTACCTATATGATTCAATCTTCATATGTACAAATCCTTAGGAATGGCTTTGCCTTTCTGATGTGAAATATAGGGAAAATGCATCCTTAATACTGTCACTGTCACTGGACTACAGCTTGATTTTTTGCACCATGTCCAGAGAGTCAAAGAAGGTAAGGGCAAATACTGGAGATTTTCCCTTTTTTAATTCCTGGGCTTCTGCAAAATCTTCTACAGCTTTTGTAAGACACCACTTCAGTCATTATGATAGGATGGGTGTGTATTTAACTAATTCTTTAGTATCTTTAGACTTGACAGTGATGGTGCCCTGTCATTTCTTAATCAGACCCTTCTAAAAAGTATGTACTACAATACTTACTACTGTCGGCCATGTATAGGGTAGGATTGTAGGCAATTTTGAATAGTCATCAAAATACATTTATTAGAAGCTCAGCCACGTTAATGCAAGCTTTGGTTGTATTTCCCATCCAAGTTTTGTGAATTGCTGTTCCTGAATTCATAGGTGTGTTTCACCCTCTGCTCTTTTTGCTTATTCTCTGTCTTTGATAGCTTAAAATATAGATTAGGAATCAATATCTTCCAGCATCTTAAGCAGCAAGGACTGATATAAAAAAATAATTTAGCTTGTTAGTGATATCCTTCTCCTCCTCAATTGTTCTGTTGATTCCCTCATGGCCCCTCTGGCTAATGTCCTTCTCTCAGGTTTTCTCTTTCTGATGGCTGGACAAAAGACTGTCATTCAAGTTTTTAGCTAATTCCTCTTCAGATCTCTTATTTGCTGTCTTTTAAAGTCCAGCTTTTTAAAAAATGGCCTGTCACCTTTGTAAATGTCACTTGGCTGAATTTCTGTTTCTATTTTGAACATGCATGGATCAAATTGACTTTTAAAATATCTGTTCATAAAATATTTTTCTTGTCTTTTTCTACCTTTCTTGTGTAGCTTCTATTGTAGCTTACTCATCACCATTCTTTTTACATTTGATGCTTTCTTCATTTTCCTTCTTCCTTTTGAACTACATTATTTTACCTTCCTTTTTTGTCTGATATGCTGCTACAAAACTTGTGTCCATTTTATGTTATATATACACTGTGAACATCATTGTTATGTGTGTTACTATGCTATAGATACACTCCTGAGCCAGCAGTTGTTCTGTAGCATGAATGCTTTCTCATGTTTTGAACCTGCTTGAAGAAGCAGGAGTTTGAAATATCTAAACCTTGTCCCAGCTTACTTTTGACCACTTACATCTATGAAGCTGAAGTCACACAGTATGAATGCTTTATTTGGTTTATCTCCCTTGTTTTTCTGTCAGCTTTATGCACTCTTTTTTTTCTTATCTGGAGGTCATTGTCTATACTTTTTTCTGCTATCTTTTTGTTACTGGATAGAGTTTGAAATGGAGTGAGATATAACTGCACTTTTTTTCTAATTAACTTTTAAGGGGAATATTATTACTGCTAACACAAAGAATACTTGGATAATACTGTAATGGGGTCAGCTGTTATCACTAATCCATTTGCATTGAACCATCTTTGCTTATGCTCATTGTTTCAAGGATAAGCTCTGCCTCAAAGAGATCTTGTTCTAAAAAACATGATGTTAGAGAGAGAGAAGAAACAAGTACATGGTGGGTGTGAGAAGGGCAGGATAATAAAGAGCAGGCAGTAGAGGTAGAATTGTCAAGTGTGGTATTTCTGGTTTTGCAGAAATCCTGGCAGAAGAAGAAGCTTTAAGGACTGGGCACTGAGCTTCTTTCTAACGGCAGGGGTGAAGGATGCCTTCTTTTACAAGTGGTCACTCTCCACTAAAATTAAAAATTAAAATTTTCTATCGAGGCGGGGAACTGAAGTAGCCCAACTAGGGGAAAGAAAATCTTTCTGTATTTTTTTCTGCCTTTCTCCTTTATACTGTTTTGATGCCATGAGAGGTGCTAGCAGTAAAACATCTCAGCAGGTCTGTATTTGGTTCCCTGCTTCACCATGAAGATGTGGATGATTTGGCAAGTTATCTGCAATGCAATTTAGTATCTAAAGCCTCTTTTCAGAACAATATAAGTGCTCCTCCGAACCTCAGTAAATGTTTTTCACCATCTTTAGGAATTAATTGCCTTTAAATATCTGTCTTATATCTCAGTTTTCACTCTGCAAAACTAAAGTAGCGCTTTGATACCTCATAGAATTGTTACACAATGAAAAGTGTAAAGCATTTCATTTACTATAGTAGTCAAAGCTGTATGGTGTGGCTCTCATTGAAGATTCATCTCAGGTAGACAAGTATGTTTAATTTGTAATGCTTCTGAAGGAGGAAAAATATAAATCAGCGGGGAAAACCTGAAATCTAATCTTAAAGATGCAAAAAAGGGGATATCTTTTCCGAGCAGAATGCAATTCTGAATTTTGAGTGTACTCATGTCCCTGTGTCACATTTAATCTGGGCGGCAGGGATGTGGAAGGCAAGCTTTAGCAACCTGAGTACATACACAGGATCCCTGGATGGCTCAGTGCTCTGCCTAACAGCTCGTGCTGTAGCCCATGCTGTCACCTTGTATCATCCTGTTATTACTGTTACCAGCTTTGTAAGCTAATTTCTGCAAGCTGTGGTATAGTTGTACCTCTATTTTCCAGTGCTCGTAATACCTTCAGGGCAGTGGCAGGGCGCCGTCCCTCTGCAGGGGGATTGCAAGTCATGTCTTAACGCTTGCAGATTTGGAAAAAGGGAGAGACTGCAAATGTTCACCTCCATCCTGAAGAGATCTGTCTTTGTAAGCAAGGTGTGAGAGTGAAATTGTTGAGAGAGGATTTAGCCAGCCTGGGTAAGTCACAAGTGAATTGAGCTGACGGCGCTTTCCTTCCCTGCAGATCCCCCCAGGAAGCGCGTGGACTCCCCCATGCTGAACAGGCACGGCAAGCGGCGGCCGGAGAGGAAATCCATGGAGGTGCTCAGTGTGACAGATGGTGGATCCCCAGTTCCTGCCCGCAGGGCGATTGAAATGGCACAGCATGGACAGAGGTGGGTCCCTGCTTCACCCAGGAGCCCTGCCTGCCTGGGCCTGCTCTCCCCTTTTGTGTTTTACATTCAAGGGAGCTCTGGGGCTTTTCTGTTCGCACCAGCACTCATCACAACTTCCAGTCACATTTGCAACATGATCCGGCAGCCAGAAGTGCTTGTGCACACAGGACCTGACAGAAGTCCTGACAGGGGCTTAAGGGTTCTGTTTGCTTGCAGCTATTCCTCAGGAAGCCACCATGTCCTGTGGGCAAGACTCATCTCACCTCTTTTTAATTGTTGAGGACATGGGCGTGCAGTCTAAGCCTGTGATACAGGCTGACTGGGCAGTGGGGACACATGAGGGCTTTGGGAGGTCTCAGACACATGTGTCCTGTCAAACAGGAGAAATTACTTTCTGCTTGTTCTTCTCTGTCTCCAGAGCCTACAACAGGAATCTAGGTGACTGTCTTGGATTAGGTTCCTAGCTTTTGGGCACCTGAAGTTAAGTGAACACCATGCTCCATGTCATCAAAACAACTTGAATCTGAAAAGCCCTGTCCAGGCATCTGTAGATGCCTCCAAAATGTGCTGTCAGAGCCAGCATGCATCTGAAATGGCACATAAATCACCACATGCTTGTAAAATGATGGAATATGTATAATTTGCCTCTTTTCTATCAAAGAAAGTGTCAGTCTTGTGGAGAAACAGCAGAGGAAAATGGTGTCTCCTCAAGGCAAGTTCTGGGAGTGTAAGTGAGCTGTGGAAATTCACTTTTGTGAACCATGGAAGTTGCTTCCTCAGTCCCTATGACTAGCCTAAGGGAAGCCACATCCATTTGGTTTCACACTTGCATTAATCAATCAGTATAAAAGAACATTTCCCATATATGAATGATGATGATGATGCTGTAACTTCTGTTTCAGTTTTGACATTATTTTTTATTTGTTCAGCATTTAAGGTCAGTTAAAAAAAAAAAAAAAAAGCCTGCTGTATCCAGAATCTCCCTTTGCTGACTGAGAACTGGGAGAAGAATATGAAATAATTCCACAGATATTCCATAGGCCCCTAGAATTACTGGAAACTTTTCCTGGCAATTGTTACAGTTCTATCTGCAGTGAAGAAAGAGTGGTGATTTCCAAAATCTGCTAGGACCTACTTCAGACTGGATATGTGGCCTTGAGACTGCCATAAAAACTTCTTGCATATTGTAGGTTGGAAACCTGTCTCAAATCCGTGATTTGGTGTGAGGTGTGGGTGAAGCAAGTGTTCAGGACAGGGTGTGCTCAGTGTTCCTAACAGGCCTCAAAGGAGTAAAGATGAGCACAACACTGATTCCTTGTTCCATCTGCAGTGTTTACTCTGCTGCTGGGAGATGCATGCGACACGAGGCTCCCAGAGCCAGGCAGAGGCAAATCACCTTCCCCCACCCCAAGGCTCCTTTCCAGGGAGTGTCCCACTGGATGGAACAAACAGGAGGCATTAAATTGATCACAGCATTTTCTGAGAGCTGAAATATTTTCTTCCAGCTCTGAACTTTGAATTCAGAAGCCTGAAGAGTCAAAACTGTGTCTTGCTATCCAAAGCATTTCTTTTGATTTTAAATGTCTCACTTGATTCTGCACACAAGGAAACAGTTGAAGTCAAAAGGCCTGGGATAAGTTCAGAGCACAGATGTATCCAGGCCATGATATATCCAGCCAGATATATCCATGTCAGTGAAGAAGGGGTTTGGCTTAAGGAGGAAGCAAAACCTGCAGGGACAAAAAGAGATATGGAGCAATGCATGCCACAAGTCAGGGACGGATATAAAAGTGTGATTAAGGGTGGAGAAAGGGATGTAATAACACAGTGATTGATGATGATGGGCATGGTAGTGCTTGTTTTCGAAGGGGTTAAAGGGAAGATGTTATTTTACTCCACGTGTGAGCTTCCATAATTCATTCCATCCACATCCAGAGATGACAACAGCACATTTTGTGTTGCTGGCAGCACAGTCGTTTATAACACGAACTGGCTTCATTAACGAACCCCAGTGCATGGGGAGTGTCTGGGGACGATGCATTGCTGATGGGACACCATCTGTCAGAACAGCTAGTAACAAAGTGACAAGTGCCTTCCACCAAGAACGGGGATTTTTAATGGCTAGTTGCATATTATATTCCATGAAATGACCCAGTGACAGTGGATTTTACAGCAGTAGGGTTTAGATCCCCAAGGCAGATGCTTTTTTAAGAATTACTCATTTTTTTTGATCCCAAGAGATGACTTTTCAGTGCTTTTATCCTACAATACTAGGAAGACTGACCATGGAATCAGGTCTCCTGTTTAGACACAGATGACTTGTGTAAACATGTGGAGACACAGTGCCATTGCTTCATCCTTGAGCTGGCAAAGATACACTTCTAACCAGTAGGCAAAACACACTCAAATGTCTTGTGATTTATTCCTACTGTCCTCTTTCCCAGTAGTAAACAGGTATTTGCTTGCATAAAGAGGATTTATGTTACAACCTCGAGTTTACATGTCTATATCATGATCTGTGCTTTTGATAACCATGTGGGGGCCCTACAAGTTCTGATCTTAGATTGTTTAGGGCATATCTTTCCACTGAAATTTAAAACTTAGCAGCTTCCAGCCCTACAGGCTGAGAAAGTATTAAGTGAAAAACATAATCCTTCAGTGACTTGCTTTTGAATAATGGACAAGGGAAGCTCACACAAAAGCTGCTTGTGGAGCTTACAGGCTCCTTGAAATGCTTGTGCCGACCTCTCCAGGTGTTCTCCAGCAGATCTTTGTAAATGGCAAAGTTGCTATGCACAAACTCTAGCCCCTCTAAAACTGGTGACTAAGGTTTGTTAATTCTTGGGTTTCTCTGCTAGTTGTCAACTAAACGGGTTCATAATTATATCTTAATTACTTCCGCTGTTCTGGTATCCCCACCTCTCAGACTATCTGGTATTTCATTGAAATGTCAAAAGAAAAGAAGTAGGTTCTGAGCCTAGTTTAACATCAGCTAATTTGTCCTTTGTGCTAAAATCACACAGACTAGGAAGAATTCCATGGGAGCTAGATCCGGTGGGGATACGCCAGAAATTTTCAGCAGCTTTGCTGTGAGAGTCCAAAAACCATTCTAAAATGGGCTTCATTAACTATTCATTTTCTTCTAGTTTTTGAAGTGGAGAGCTTGCATGAGAAATCAGCTAACATTAGGAAGCAGTGTTCTGTGAAACAGTGAAGCATATTACCAGTGAAATACATTACAGAGAGCTGCCCTTTTAGCAAAGCAGAGGGGATTTCACTTCTAAGCTGCAGGGATTCAGATCCAAGATGAGAAAGAAGGGCATTTCTCTATACACTGAGTATAGGAAAGAGAGTTGGGAGTAGAGTGGTAATGGACCCTACAAATTGGAATACAAAATGGATTACTGTTCCTCTAAGAGGCTCTATGGTCTGATTTTAACCTTTTCTGAGAGCATGCTTAGTGTTGAGGTCTTCTGGAAAAGTCGTGAGTAATGAATGCTTTGCAATTAATGCCTTCAGGCATGTTCAGTTTTCCCTGGACACTGTGACAAAGTAGGTGGTACCTGGGTTTTAAATTGGATAAAGGAGAGCAGGGTTTACAAGTATGCATGGGGGAAGTCATCTTAGACCTTGGAAGTCAGGGGAAGATAATGAACTTGAGCACTGTGTAGGCATGAGCCATGACTTAAAGTAAAAGAAAGGTTTTTCAGAGCATTGCTTAAAAAGGGGAGGATGGGTTGGGGGGCTGGGTGTCCAGCATTGCTACAGGTGACTCTCTTTTATAAAAATGTCCACACTAGTAACTGTGTTTTCTCGCTTTGTTCCTGCCATAGTAAAACAATGTTCAGTAAAAGCCTGGATATCTCTGAAGCCAATCCCAAATTCAACAAAGAAGAAAGGTATAAACACTGACAATATGTTCCTCTCCTCTACCTCACTGCTGAGACCTTAAAGATGCAGTACTTACCTTCTCTGTGTGGGGACAGAGCTGTTCTTTCTTTTCTCTTTAGAGAGAAGCAAAGAGGGTGGGATGTTTACAGCTCCACACTATGTATGTTTTTGTACAGTACCATTCATTTGAGGCTATCCCCAGTGCAGCCTTGGACTGTACCAATGATTTCCCCACTAAAATTTCATCCTTCTGCTATTTCTGGTTCAGTTCTGCCATGAGTAGAAGTTCTGCCCAGGGTAGAAAATATATTTGCTTAAGACTTCTTTGGGAAGGATTGGAATATAAAACACTAGGAAAGCCCAGAATGTTCCAATCTCAGCATTAGAAACAGCAGCACAACTGAGTGGGTGAAAACAGTGGTAGTAAACTTTGGAAATGCAGTCTGATAGACAAACTATTAAGGACCTCTGTTTAAGACTACCCAGAGGACACAAGAGGAAAATGTGATTGAAAACAGGGTGTTTGGAGGATGATTCTAATCTAGGAGTTCGAGTGACAGATGCTGAAGAACAACAGAAAGGGTAACTCCCAGCTGTCAACAGAGGCACAGTGGAAGACAGGTAGGCCACCACACTTATGCACTTTAAGTGGACTTAAGTGGGTCCATGAACACAAAAAAAAGTTCATACTTCTGCGAAGGTTTTTAGTGTACATGTTGCTTCTAAAATTTTGGTCTCAGAGGAAGAGAATTTTTCTCTGTGTTGAAAACTGGCATCCCAAAAGATAACTCTTCGTTGAAATGTAATCCTTACACATTTTGGACAAACACTTAGTTTACTTTACCCAAAGGTTACGAGTGTGGCATATGATTCAAAAAGGGAGAAGCAATGGCTTCCTTAAAGGAGCCAATGGACTTGGCAAACCATTCTTGTTTCCATTTCCCCTTTTCATAGAAATCTTTCTATATAAAGGTGGCCTTTAAGCCTCAGGAGATTTGCTGGATGTGTGAGGGACTGTTTTGGCCTTTTGCAGTCTGAGACAGTCTTTTGTGGTCAGTGTTTCAAGTCCTGAACCTTCCACAGAGAGGAACATTGTGCATCTGCAGGAG